GTCACATGTGCACCGTACACATTATAACATTGGAGATCTCTAAGCCGATCGAATAAGGAACCGAAAAAATCAAACGAAACCAATATGCCTAACCTTAAAAATGGACATATTCTTGAGACTCCTCAAAATCCGTCAATAGTTTACTGAGGGTTATAAAATGAGTCAATTCCCTAAAATAACAAACACGGCGAAGTTTTTCCTTTTATTAAAAACCATTAATAAAATCTTCTCGGCATGTTTTTTACAAATCATATTAGTAAAACATAAATTGAATCATTATAAGTATTTTTCCCCTGATTAACTTTGAAATAAAACATGTGCAGTTCAATGTTAAAAAATAAAACATTTGTCGAATAAAAAATAAAACGGGTTCAAATAAAGTTTAGTTATTTGCGGAGACCCCATGGATTAGAGTTTTGTACTCCCTCTGTCCCTAAAAGAAGTTCCATTTCGCTTATCGAGGTTCAACTTAAATCACTCTTAAACTCTTACTTTTTATATCAAAATTTTATAAAAGTTGAATTATTTTTTGTAGGCTTTGTAGCGGGTTTAATGTAGTTTCTGAATATGTAAATTTTATTTACTAAAAATAATCCGAGTTTTCACAGGAATCATTTAATTTTATCGTCGATCAACCTTCGTAATCCGCAATTATAACAACATGTAGGGAGGGAGGGAGTATTTTGTATTTTTTGTGTAAAAACTCCAACATTTAGAAGTATGGATGAACGGTTGGTGCGGGTTTCAGTTCACTCCCTAGGAAAATGCTATGTGTACACAACATTGTACACACCACCCTACACATCATAAAAAGACCCACCCCCTCTTTCTAACCCACCCCACTTTTGAATTAATCCACCCCACTCCCTTTCTCCTCTCCCCTTTATTCCCAAACGAAAATGCCTGTGCAGATAACAAATTGTCTGTCCAATTTTTTTCATTTGTTTGTCATCCCTTATATCTCTCAACGAGCGGCAGGAAGCGAGTAAGACGTATGGCGGCGGCGGCGACGACGAACTTGGCCTGGGCTGGAATCAAGGGAGGATATATTCGGGCCGAGTCCCGGGGACACGCCATCTGCGATGGAAGCTTTCTCCCTGCCCTTTTTATGCGGTAAGCTCTCCTTCTCCCTTTCTTTATTTTCTTTTCATTCTTCTGCAACAGCTCCTCTCTTTTTCCCTCTTTTTTTTTCATTCTTCTCCAACTCCACATCCATTCAATTTTTATTCAACTATACTTTTTCATTTTTATGCCTCTAAGATGTTTGTTGAAACGCTCAAATGAACTCTTTTATTTATAACCATGATTTTTTTGTATTCTTTCTCTTTTTCTAAAAATATATTTGTATGCTTGATGGGTTTGTGCCTATAAGGTGTTTATTGAAATGTTTCAATGAAATATTTCATTCATATGCATGAATTTTTTGTGTTTTTCTCTTTTTTCTGTTAATGTGTTTGTGTTTGATCTTGGTTTAACTGTTTTTGACTATTTAATTGAATATTATGATTCTTTGTTTGTTATTAAGATACTAGTCTACTAAGTGTTGTTAATATTTTCTAGAGATGTCTGTGTAGTGTGTTCTTATATGTTTGTCCATTTTTTAGTTGTCTATATAGTTTTCCTGAAATGTCTGTGTAGTTTGTTGTTATACGTCTGTGGATTTTCTAGTTGTTTTTATGGTTTTCCGGAGATGTTTGTATAGTGTGTTGTTATATGTTTGTGCATTTATTAGTTGTCTATATAGTTTTCCTGAAATGTCTGTGTAGTTTTCCAGAGATGCTATGGTCCACACATAAAGCTGCCAATGGTGTATTACTCTTGTTGATGCGTTCTTGAGATTATTTATAGAGATTACTTGTTATATTCTTCTCATCCACTTCAGAAAGTACATGAATTTATTTACAGGGACTGTTATTGGCGGAAGGACCCTAAAGTTGGGATTATTCTAAAATAATCGATAGTTGGGATTATTATAAGCGGACCGCCAATAGTTGAGATTATTACAATCAATTTTTCCTTAAATTTTTAACATGTCCCGGCCCACTTCAAATAAAAAAAAAACTTGTCAATAATTCAATGACTATTAGCCCTAAATAAGGCTAAAAGTAACCCTAAATGCAACAATAGGACTACAATCCTTTTATTCTCAAAATAGGAGTATAAATATCCCATCTTTCTATTCTACCATCTTCCTCTCGTCTTCCTATTAGAACTAGATATATTTATTTAATAAGAAAATCATGGTCCTATTTATAATGAAAATATAAAAATAATAACAAATATTTTTACTTTAATAATATAAACAAGAAACAATATAATCAAATCAAATCAAATTTTAAAAAAAGTATTAAGAAACTAAAAGAGGCTTAAAAAATAATATACCTAAGAAATATTAAAAGAATATGTAGGCCACTGCCACCGCATTCTCCAACTCTTAGCACCACCAGCTTCGATCGTCGGGAAAACAATGTCACCTTGTGTAAAAAATGCTACATTCCTATGAAAATGCCATGAAGATGACATTTTTACTCTTTGAAAATATGCAACTTTCTTTTCAAAATTGTCATCACGGTGACATTTTTTTCAACTTGACATTCTTTTCCGACGACCGGAGGTGGCACTGCTGGAAGGTGGCTAAAGTGGTAGTTAAGGTTGGTATATTTTATTTATTTATTATGTTTTTTTTTGTTTTTTTGTTTTGTTTAATTAAGACCCCATTAAGAATGACAAGGGAAAGGGTATAAGAGGAAACTTAGTCCTATTTTGAGAATTTAAACTTTAGCTCCTATTGTTACAATTTTACTTTTTATTTAGTCGTATTTAAAGAAATCTCCAATAATTCAAATGCAAGCATCTCAAAAATATGATTATGTAAGAAGATGAACGATGATGATCATACCTAAATAATGAGATCGATTTTTGTTATACTCGCTTAATATAATGGATTTACACATTAATCTCCAATATCTTAGATCTACTAATCTACTATCGGCCAGATTGAGAATACCAAATTTTCTTTTGAAATCGTCTTTTCCCTCAACGACTTACTTAAAGAATATGTCACATTATTTAATTGTTCCACATAGGAACTTATGAATGAGAATGTGCTTTTAAAAAATACAAAAGAAATGTTTTTCCCTTTTTCCTAGCCTGAAACCATCAGCACTCGGAAATTAAAACCTTCACATGCAAAAACGTAACGACGTGAAGACATTCACAATTGCCCCACTGATCCGCCGATTAGCGGATGTAATTAAAATGAATGAACAATCAAAATCATATTGATGAGACGGAATTAAAAGGAGCCAGCAAGATAATGGTCCACTATGAAGCACCAGATTCACGCCAAAGCTCATTTTAAGGAAGAAATTAAATCAGCAAACTTTCTCGTGCAGCCAACTAGCTCAAGGTATTTGGCAATTTTTCAAGAAACGTCAAATAGTTGATGGAATTATTTGTTATCAACGTGTATTTGATGGAATTAATAATTAATTATTGCAATTTTGAAATTATTAGAAATAAGTAATGACTACTGTATTTTCAAAGCAAGAGTTATAGATAAAAGTGTGACACAAAGATATAGGACATGTTTGACACAACTAGTTTGAAAAGATATTTTCATCAACCTTTTAGTAACCGTTAGCTTCTAGTGACTGAAAAGATCTTAAAAGAAAATAATGGTAGTTGTTTGATAAAAAGTTGATTGTTTGATTTAGTACTTGATGGAGTATATGATCCAGGACCCCCTGGCCCACATACTCATGTAATCTAGACATTCAGTGGAAGCCCTCGGCATCACCTTGGCGGTACCCCTCGGCCATGATGCCCTTCGGCACCCCTCGACCATGATGTCCTCAGCACCTCGACCACGATGCCCTCGGCACCCCTCGACTATGATGTTCTCGGTACCCCTCGGCTATGATGCCCTCAGTAGTACCCCTCGGCACCCCTCGGCTATGATGTCCTCGGTACCCCTCGGCTATGTCATGCCCCCGCCCATACATGAAGCCTTCGGCCATACATGAAGTCATCGGCCATACATGAAGCCTTCGGCCATACATGAAGCCCTCGGCCATACATGAAGCCTTCGGCCATATGATCCAGGTCGAAGGGTCTACACTCTACGAAGCTTCCTCTGAAGACAAGCAACCACCGCATTCAATGCGGCGTCACATCCACCCACCGCATTTAATGCGGTGCACATGCGAGTGCCGATGCCACCCCGATTGAGGTGACCCCTCGGCCGTCAGATTGTTTACATGTGTACTCTCATCGCATTTATAGTGCTATAAATAGCAGCCCTTATTCCTCTTATAAAGGATCCCGGATCAGATTTCATTAATATATGTGACTCTCTCTCTCTCTTACTTGTTTGCTCTGACTTCTCTCTAAGTTATTCCCCGAATAACCCCTCGGGTAAGCTAGCCCCCAGGTACGCAATCCATCAGTACTGTTGAGACTAATTAATGCTAAAATTTACAAACTTGTTTCAGATGCTACCATTGTAGCATCTCAAAAAAGATTTTTAATTTTTACAAAAGCTCTTATAAATTGTCATACCAAACATACAACTAGAAGCTTTTAAGGATTATTTAAATAGCACAAAGGGTATGTTTGGCACAACTAGTTAAAATATATTTTTATGAGCTTTTGAATAATTGTCAGCTTTTAGTGACTGAAAAGATATTAAAAGGAAAAAGTCATAGTATTTTGATAAAAAAATTGACTGTTTGATTTAGTTGTATTTGGTATAACAAGCTGTTGTGACTAATTAGTGATAAAAGCTACAGACTTTCTCCCAGATGCTACCCACTGTAGCATCTCAAAAAGTTCTTTTATTTTGTAAGAAACTCTTAAAATTGTCCTACCAAACACACAATTAGAAAACATATGTTTGGAGACTTTTTAAATAGTACAAAAGTTAGAAGTTATGGACTTTTGCCTACCAAACATGCACAAAAGGTGGAAGGTAGGAGTTTATGCCTACCAAGAGGTTTATGCACAAAATCATGTTTGACGGAGAACGAAGAGGTTTTCTTCCCCAACCAAAGTGGTTGGTTAAGGGATTTCGTGAAGCAGTCTGAGCAGTGGTCTCCACAATGTTCATTTTGATGGACATGGGAGCGCAGAAGGGGCATAAGCTCGATTGGATTTTAGCTAATGAGCGGTGGCTTGATCTGTTTGATGACAATAGTGTTATTTCTCATGCTATTTTTGAAAATCAAATTTTCGGAACAACAAGGATGGTGGAAAGTTTTCAAGTTCGATAATGTGTAGGCCCAAGAAGAGGAGATCGGCCGAATTCAATCCCAGAAAAAGAAAAACTGCCTCATGGAGAAAATCTGAGGAAGATGGCAAGGTAGTAAATATTATCTCCCTGATTGCATATTCATACATTTTCTTGAATATTTCATTGATCACTCTCTTATACAATCTTTTTCGTTCATACATGATCAAGTATACATAGCATTATATGTTATTTAGTATCACATATGTATGGAGTGTTATTTTTGTTTTAATATTTATTCAATGTGGTAAGTTATTCTTCAACATTACAGGGAATTGAAATTTGAAGGGGTTGTTTTTTCAGATGCAAAACAATCTAAACTAACAGAGGTGTCCAGGGGTGGCTACAATGATCATAATACTGTTCAAGCAGTGGTTGAACCAAATCAGAAGCTTTCGAATCCACCAAAACACTATATTCATGTCAGAGCGAGAGGGGGGCAAGCTACTGATGGTCATAGTCTTGCAGAAAGAGTAAGTTTCTGGAAAAATAACACCAACTTATGTACATCACTTTTACTTATAATAACATATTATTAAAAATCATTCCTCATGACCTGACCTTATGAGTATTGATTCGCTAGGTAGTTAATAAATTATGGAAAACAAGAGTTTCAGCTAATTCAATTCCACCGTCTAAAAGATAAGTTTAAAATCATTTTTTCTCTTCTTTAGATTCTTTCAGGTAATGTTACTTTCAGGTAAGTTTACTTGAGAAATATTCTTGGATTTTCAGGTGGCTGTTGCTTTACAAAAGGCTGCCCTTTCGGATGAGTATTTTGTTAAGAGAAAGCTGTATCCAAATGTGGACTTCTATTCTGGGTTAATATATAGGTTCATTTGAATGCTTCTTGAAATACTTGATTCTACATAATAATACAATATTATAGAATCACCCCCGGTAACTAACTCATCGCTGTTATGCATCAGGGCTATGGGATTCCCTCCAGAGTTCTTCACTGTTCCTTTTGCAATTCCATGAATGGCAGAGTATTTATCTCACTGGCATGATTCCTTGGATGATCCCGATACAAAGATAATGTGACTTGCCCAGGTTAGTGTCTGATATACATTGTTTTAAACGAGTACAATTACTACCCTTCATTTACCGATAAAAAATAGCCTTTCTATTTGCCGCACAACCCTCTCCATCAGAACGTCATCTGCCTCCATCTCTTCTTCTTCTCGATCATCTCGTCATCTGCTCGTCTGCCTCCATCTCTTCTTCTTCGGCAATCTCTTGTGCTTCAACCTCTCACTCCTTTTCGGCCTTTGTTATTCCAGGTTCATCATTTGTTATTCCAGGTTAGTTCCCTCAGAACCAAATTTTGTTTTCGGCCTTTGGTAAACACTTCAATACACTCCAAATTGAGGTGTTAAAAAAGTGGACAAATGAGGTGTTGAGGGGGTAATTACTAACACCTCTTAACACTTACTAACACCCGTTAACACTTCTTAATTTTATTCCCAAACAAGTGTTAATATAGACACTTCTCAACACTTCCATTACTAACACCCTTAACACTCCATCCAAACACAACGTTAGGGTTTGGGAGAATTTGTACCAAATTAAAACAATTTGTTTTTCGGTTTGGTTTTGATTCAGTTTCGATTCAGTTCGATTTGGAGTTTGGTTTACCAAAGTGTAAAAAATGAGTCGGTGGTACAAATTTTGTACAAAGATTTTAGCATATAAAATCTTCAGATAAAACTAAAGGAATCGGTGGTACAAATGTTGTAATATTCACAAATTTATTCAAATGAATCATGTAAAAAATATAAATGCATATCGCTATTGTTATCACCAAACATGTTTCCATAGAGGTAGTCAGGTAGAGTACAAAACACAACAAATACATATATTTTGTACAAAGTATTAGCTAACTTTGTCATAATTAATGTATGAAATGTGTAAAAGTTAAAACGACGTATCCAAAGACTAAAGAATTATATCTATATATAATAAAGGCTCATAAAAACCAATGTAGGTTAGTACTCTTTTGGTCATGAAAATTTGTTGGTGGTCATGCTATAGCTATACGAAGTTGTACATCATGGTGAAGGCATAGTGTCGTGGCAATATGTTCATGGGAAGGAAGCAGCCCTAGCCTCTGAGGCCCGACAATTTTTATGGAGGGTGGGTAATCACCCCGACAATTTTTATGGAGGGTGGGTAATCACCCCGACAATTTTTATGGAGGGTCGGTAATACCCCGACAATTTTTATGGAGGGTTGGCAATCACCACGATAATTTTTAAGGAGGGTCGGTAAACACCCCGACAATTTTTATGGTGGGTCGGTAATCACCCCGACAATTTTTTATGGAGGGTCGGTAATCACCCCAACAATTTTTATGGAGGGTCGCCGGGTCGGTAATCCCTCCGGCAATTTTTATGGAGGGTCGATAATCACCCCGACAATTTTTATGGTGGGTCGGTAATCACCCCGACAATTTTTATGGAGGGTCGGTAATCACACCGACAATTTTTATCCGACAATGTCATGGTGGGGGTAATCACCCTGACAACTTCAATTCGTGATTTAATTATATATTTTTGGGGGAAATGGTATTTCTGGAAAGTTACATTTTTTGAAGGTTGAACACTCTTGAAAAACTATGTTGTTTATAGTTGAATTTCGGAAGACTTATATTCTTTGAAAATTATTAAATAATTATAATTTTTAGAGACTTATGTTCTTGGAAAATTGTATCATTGGGAAGTTATGTTTTGGTGTGATATATTTTAGGGAATCTACTTTTGGAAAAAATTATTCATTTGGAAGGTGATGGTTTCAAACGTGATTTGTGGAACGTGAAACTTTAGAATGTATTACTTTGGGATGTGGTTTTGTGATAGCGGTATTTTTCCTTCTATGTGGAGATGTGATTATATGTGAATGCTTAAATGTTCTAATTGCTATTTTAACTACAAATATGTTTTTTTGGATAGATATATTTTGCTCTTACATGGAGAGGTGACCTATTTAAAATTTAGATTTATTACTTCAACTATAAAGGTATTTTTTAATTATGAATATATATGGATTTATAAATGTTATTTCAAATGTTGGATGTTGTTTTAAACAAGAAAAAAAAGGTTTTGGAAACTATTAAGGATTTTTAAAAGATAATAATAATATTGTTTTTTTAAATATAATTTTGAATATGAAAAATAGTATCCTTGGTGGAATATGGATTTTCGAAAGTATATTACGTATCAAATCTATTTTGGCAAATTATATTATTTAACGGGGTTGGGTAGGTCTTACTTAGCTAAAAAGCTATTTTTTATTTCCCTTTCTTTGTTTGTTTCCGCACATTAATTGTGCAGGTGATGAAGATTATCCTTGATGATGAGAGTTGCGTTAGATCATGTAGTTTAGTATTTATAATCACCTAGTCATTGTTTATTTCAATTTGAGAACATGTAGACATTTAATTTGCATTTCAAAATTTAAATCATTAAATACTTGGATTATTGTTGGATGGTGGTTTTGCCTGTGCATTCGGTTAAGTGAGAACCGAATGTGGCAGTAACACCCATTGAATGTTTGACTTCCGCTGTAATTTAAACTCTTTTGAATTAAATGTATTGGGAAGTTCTTTCTACACTTGCTATAATTAACATATATTTCGGGTATAAATTTGGGGGGTGTTACAAATTGCTATCAGAGCCTTTGTTTTTCAAAATCTTTTGATAGGTTTTCTAAACATTTTTCAATTGACTTAATTAATTTATTAATTAGGTTTAAAGAACCTGATTAGTAATAAAGTTTAAGGCTTAGGTTCGCGGTGAGATTGTGGGATGCCTGATTTATTATGGTTTATTTTGATTAATTTTGATGACCTGAGAAGTATGTGAAAAGATCTAAAGAAAATAGAGGAATAGATCGAAAGAAAAGAAAAGAGAGCGGGAGAGGGGGGGGGGGGGGGGAGAGGACCGGAGTCAATACGTCGAAAGCTGCCGTACTGATAAGTCCGTATTTAGACACGCATTTGATGCGTGTTCGGGTCGGATTATGATGATTTTCCTGGCTTTAAGGCGTTGCAAGTCTCAACTCGGATCGAGTTTCATAGCATTTGGAGTTGATTTGAAGAAGTTAGAGTCTGGCAATCGGCGCTTGAGAGGCATTCGGGAAGCATTTGAAGGCATTCGAGAGAGATTTGGAAGATTTGGAGGCCACCGGGAGAGTCACGACGAAATTCTGGTGAAGAAAGAGCATTTGGATCAACCTCGTAGGCATTCGGGAGCATTCGGAACGAGAAACGAAGAAAAACGATGAAGAAATGGTCAGGCACGGCCGTGCCTAGGGCAGGCACGATCGTGTCTGCCATATGAATTGACGCGGAGCTACTGGCAGCCAGACACGATCGTGTCCGGTGCAGGCACGATCGTGTCTGCAATATTTTTGCGCGTCTCTTCCGCAGACACGGTCGCAGGCACGATCGTGCCTAGCACCGTGTCTGGCCCCGTTTTGTCCTAAATCAGCTCAAATTCTCCGTTTTTCTATAAATAAGGCCTTCATACCCACTTTTGGGGTTACGAACTTTGGAGAGAGGCCTAGGGACGAGTTTACCTGCGTTTTTTACGTTGTTTAATCCAAGAACCTGAGATTCTTTGTAAGTTCAATTCTTTAATTAATGACAATTATTTCTATTCATCCCAATTCTTTTGATTCGTCAATTATGAGGCGTGAGTAGTTTAATTAGGGATTTGGGGTTGATGAAGGGGTTAATCATGATTGATAGCTAGATTCTTGTCGGTTTAATTGTATGAATGCCGTTTAATTTGTGTTTGAATAATTTAACTGATATCTCTTGTAACCTAGATTGCCACTAGAATTACAATTGCTTATAGAATAAATTAAGAGAGATCTAATTTGTTCTAGGACACATTCACACACACTTAATCGTTCGCTAAGAGATTAGTAGCGATTAAGGGGCCGTAAGCTCGTTCGTTTTGGCAATAATTTAGGATCTTGTCGCATGAGAGATCAGCCTGGACCCCTAAATTATTGTACTCTACGCCGCGAGAGCGGTAAGAACTTAGTAATGACTAGCTAGGCTTAATTAAATTAAATTCATGTGATTAGGCCTGTTCTGCCAGAAATCTGGTTAACCCCGGATCAATTCCTATTCCCTTCGTTGTTAATTAAGGAAAACCAAATCTTTTTATTCGCTCATTAGCATTAGTTTTAGTTTAATCAATCAACCAATCTCGCACAATTGCACTTTTATTTTATTTATTTCTTTTTAATCGTTGAATTTAGTTAAACCTTATTTCCCTTTTGTCCGTCCCTGTGAAGACGATACTCGTACTTTCAACCACTTTTCTACAACCATTTTAAGTGCGAGAAAACTCACATCACGTACCGACCAGTCATGTGGCTGAACCACTTGCCAGAGAAGAAAACCCGACCAATTCGTTGTGTCGGGCTGCTGGTAAAGCCACCGTCATTCGGACCGTGGACGGCGCTGGAAGAGTAGACCACAGGGATTGCCACTGATTGGAAGCCCGACTGCTAAGCCGCTGCACTCTCCCCTGTTTGCTGAGTAGCATCGTCCGAAGGAGGAAGAAGAGTACGTAGTACTCTGGACCTATCTTTTGTTTGAATATCGGGCTTTGGTAAATGAATGGTCTGGACAATTTTAAAGAATTGGGTCAATTAAAATAAACTAATAAAATTTATGGATTTAATTGATGAATTATCATGACCAATTTATAATGGAACATATTGAGTTTATGGATTTGAGAAACAGACAATTTTATGGAGGGTCGGTCATCACCCCGACAATTTTTATGGAGGGTCGGTAATCACCCCGACAATTTTTATGGAGGGTCGGTAATCACCCCGACAATTTTTATGGAGGGTCGGTAATCACCCCGACAATTTTTATGGAGGGTGGGTAATCACCCCGACAATTTTTATGGAGGATCGGTAATCACTCCGACAATTTTTATGGAGGGTCGGTAATCATCCCGACAATTTTTATGGAAATGATATTTCTGGAAAGTCAAGGCGTTGGGAGATTCTTTGGAGATAGTCAAGGGGGGGATTAGACGTATTTGGGGTAGTGGTCAACTATCATTAAAATGGAAACAATATGTGATAGAAAGAGGTGAGAAATGTAGGTTTTCCTAAAGATTTGTCTATTCGTTGGAATAGTACTTATAAGTTAATTAGAGTTCTTCTGAGATATAAAGATCTTTTTCCTGCTTTTTTAAAATAATATGATAACTATATTATAAACTCGGCTGAGACCGACACATGCGAAAAAATTTGTAATGCTTTAGTATATTTTAATTATGCAACTGAAACTTTTAGTCATGTTTATAAACCTACCTCAAACCATTTTATTCGTGAAGCCGTTAATCTCGCCGGTGCTTTTAATGAATTTGAGACTGCCGATTACGTTAATTATTTTGCTGAATCTATGAAGGAAAAGTTTTTGAAATGTTATGCACATATTCCACATATTAATGGTATTGCATTTGTTCTCGATCCTCATTTTAGACTTGCTTCTTTTGAAGAACTAGTATTGTACCCGTGCGATGCACGGGACAAACTGTAAATTTTTTTGCACGAGACAAAAGTGTATCCTGTTGTAAAACCATCAAATTGACAAGTGTGAATTATTCATCCTTGTCATTAGGACACCTAGCTATTCATCATCCTTGTAATGATCCTTGTAACCTAGTTAGAACAGGTGGCTCAATTTGTTATTGCCACCAAATCTGTAGACTCATCATTTAGGTGACTAATCATCAAGCTCAAACACTATAAATATGAGCTTGATGAAGCCTTGTAAATTAATTTTAGAAACTCAGAAACTTTCTGATATTAAGAAGAAGTTATTCAGAGCTTATTAATAATATATTTATCTCTTAAATCTGTTCTTCATCTTCTTCATTTCACAACACGTTATCAGCACGAATCTGCTCAGAAGTGTTCAAGAAATCATCTCCTTATAGCACCAATTAGTTCAAAAGCTTCACCACTCTATCCCCTGCAGGTATTACCGTATTAACATCAATACTTATCATCTTCTTTTACTATACTGAAACGCATGTTGAGTTTTTTTCGTTAAACTCCACCGTTTCATTAAATAAAAGAAAACTTTATTTGACGTACATACCTTTGAAATACATCCCATTAGCCAGTATCACTTTTCCCATCTCGGTAGACTCGTTATACGAAGAAGAGGAAATTAAGTTGAGAAGAGTAAATTATAACCGTGTGCTCCACAATATAATAAATAAAGGATGACTAAGTATAAGAAAGAAGGAAACCGTAGTGCTTCAGAGTAACAGAATATATGAAGAGAGAAAGATATGAAGTAATGGATAGAAACGGTCAAAGTATGGAGGACAACTCAATATATCTAATACTCCGTAGATACTAGGTAGCTGGTAGTAATCACGAGAACACAATGTGTGGTTCTAGTTTACATGCAGTACATTACAAATTACATATACTGATGAGTTCTGATGTTATATTGAAACTAATAAACAAATAGGTAAGTGACAACGTAGTATTAAAAGCTCTCTGAACATACATAGAGGATAGATTGTCACGGGTAATATAAAAACCAAATCAACCGTTAGATAACTGATGAAAACGGTTAGCAACACAAGAGGGGGGTGAATTGTGTGCGTGTGGAACCGTGGCAGTTTTTCGCCGAGTTCTAGTGTGGGATAAAGGGAATTGCGAAATAGTAAAGTGCACAAGAATTTAACGAGGAAAAATCCCTTGGCTCAAGGGGATTAAAAAACCTCGACCTCCCTCGGAGGAATTTTAACAACTTCACTAAAAAGCCTTTGAATGATTACAAGGGAAACTCTCCTAGTCTACCCTTGAGCCACCCCAACTCTATCCTCTCTAGGAAGAGTTACGCTTCTCTACCTTGCGGGTAGAGAGCCTCTCAGCTTTACAATAAAGCTCTCACTCACACAAAACAACCTGAGGAGGCTACTCTTAGCCAATCCTCAAAACCCCATTACAATATGAAGAAGGGAAGTAAGAACCTCTATCTAGAACTCCGAGTGAGCAGTTTCAGGTGCCTTGAACTTCGTATTTTTCTCGAGTGTGTCTCTGAATATTTCTCTGGTCAAGCACGCTTTCTTTCTCTCTAGCTGCTCCGTTTATATAGGTTATCTTGGGCAGACCGTTTGAGCATCCTTCCTTGAATAGATGATCTTCTAATCTTGGGACTTGCCTTGATATTTTTGAATCACTTTCCTTTCATAGGCTCGGACCATATATATCACACGGATATTTTCTCAATAATAAATATCCGCCCAAATCAAGAAGAATATTGAATTTACTTAGCATGCATAGGCGGCAATCAAGAATGCAAATAGAAGGAAAATATATTTATTTACCATGCATAATCTAGCACCAAGTTATAATTAGCAAGCCTTTAAAAACGTATCTCAAGAGGCCGGATTATTCATCAAAGATATGAATGGTCAACATTCAAATATGCCAGCACACATCCTTAAACAAATTAATCAAATAAATTAATCATGGATAATCATTTATGGGAAGGAGATATTTATTAAATCATACAAGTAGCAATGCATACAATACGTAAGAGCTATGGTCAACATCCAATTATTAATCATGCAATCATTAATATAGCAAGTAAGGATACTTTCCATAAAGTAAAAAGCTATATTAATAAGTGGATGTCTAATCAAGCATGTAATGAGAATAAGTTGCTCAATGGAAAGTACGTATATATATAATGGCCATGCAAAAAAGATATTATTGTTTAAAATAATATTCTTGACAAGTATGAGCACTCACATAAGGAGAACACATTAATTTTCAATTAAGTAGGTGCAATCAATATTAATTCAAACCATATCACGGAACTAGAACTGGGTCAGTATTAGTTCCACCTGCATGGTTAGTCAACAACATAATAATAATGTCCATTTGGACCTGAGGATAGTTCTGGGTTCAGGTCTATGGCTTGTTCCAAAGTATGACTTATCTTCCTTTCCTGCAATCACTTATAGACCAAAAGTAACACTAGTTGTTTGTCATCAACAAAACAATATGTTCCAACAAATTCCCCCTTTTTGTTGATGACAAACACTTGGTGCCCTAAAGTTAGTTTCATAATGGATAAGCACAAAGTATCAAGCATAGAACACGTAGGGCACATATTCTTCCCCCTTTTGTCAACAACAAAACAATAAATAGCTTGAAAGATAAAAGATGAACGAGAAAAATTCAAGAAAAATAGTTCATGCGTTGACGAACCCAAATTCCATCCATATTTGGTTATGATCATCAAGCTTGTTCTTGAATACCCATTTGAGACCAATTACGGTCTTGTTTTTGGGTCATGGTTCTAGATGCCATACTTTAATTCTCTCAAACTGATTTAGTTCTTCCTGCATGGCTAGAACCCAGTCAGTGTCGGAGAGAGCCACTTCATGGTTCTCCGGTTCTATAAGAGATAAATAAGCAGAGAAAGTATAAAAAATTCTAAGTTTAGATCTAGTAGTTACTCCCTGATTTAGATCAGTCAAGAGATTATCCAAAGGATGTGATCGATGAAGTTTACATCCTCATGAGGATGATTTACAACTTCACACAAGTCGCCTGGAACTAGGTCTGCATGTTCTTCAGTCTAATTTGCAGTGGATTGACTGGGTACATCCTCAGTTCTAAGCGTGTAATCGTCAGTTCCTATTCCCATCTTCTCATGCCGATAGGTTTCATGATTGGTTCACCCTTTCTCATGGAATAGGTGCAATCTCCGCGTTTAGAGTTTCTGCCCATAAATTCTTTGCTAGACCACTAGAGATGAACATAGTTCTAACCACCTCTCGTTCTTGGCAGAATGTATCGAAGAGCGTATTGTCAAATTCGGTCCCATGATCCGAACGGATCTTAATTAATTGTTGCCCTATTTGATGCTCAACTTTCCTTACAAAAATAACAAACTCATTAAAAGTATCTTTCTTACTAGCAAGAAAGATAGTCCAAGTATATTTTGAGAAATCATCAACAATTATAAACGCATATTCTTTATTAAAAATAACATTGTTACCTCCATCACAGAATTGAAAGATACTTGGCAAATTGAACTTATAACCTTGACAAAAAAATCAATTAAATGGTTGGGTGATTTTCTAATTTTCCCACGGCTACAATTTCTCCTTTGCCGTTGTCTCCAAATATCACCTTCCCACCATTAAATGGCCGAAGTGAGAGGAATAAAGATGAGTCTCCAGTCATGTGCTTAGAACAACCACTGTTAAGGAACCAGTGATTGTTCCCCCTCACTTGGCGCTGTTCCTGAATCACGGGTTAGCATGTGGAACCCAGACTTGCTTGGGTTCCATTTTGTATTTGTTTGAGGATGGATATCTAACATAGTCAAAACATCTTTCTAAGGTCTTTTGTCGAGAGTGACATTGATACCGAAGATGCCCGATTTTGCCACAATGCATGCAAACTCGGTTTTCATAGGTATCAACGTATTTAGGTTTCCATTTACCATAAAAGCCTCTTGTTTTCTTATGAAAAGTTCGGTTTGGCGTTTGTCCATAACCATTTTTGTGCCTCTGAACCAGTCTATCGAACCAGTTTGGTCCAGTTCTAGGTGGTTGTTGATATGGTCTAGAACTGGGTTGTCCTCTGGTTCTATTTCCATTAAAGGATCGGTTCTGAAAATCAGGTTTTTTATTAGGTTGAGTGTTCCTTGGAATATAACCGAGACCAGCAGTCTCGTTTTCCTTCTTATTGTGCCGAGGGGGACCAGTTCCAGAATAAGGTCTAGACCTGGTTTTGTTCGTAGCACTATATGCTTTGTATTCCGGTCTATTTTTAAAATCTGTACACTCGGCAACAAGACGATGAAGATGATCAATCAAAGTACCAACGCTCGGAATTTTTGAGAGAAGTTTTTCATCATGATTAACTTGTTTGTTCATACTATCGAGCTTAAGAGAGCAAATGATTTGATCTTGTTGTAAAACCACTTCACTGTACTTAAGCCTTTCATCTATTAACTCTCCCACTTTTGTTTTAAGCCTTATCTTGGCTCTCGTGGCTTCCTCGAGTTTAGACTCAAGCTCAGTGATTTGTGATTTAAGATGATCATTTTCAGAAAGATTTTGATTAAGCTCAATAGTCAATCTTTTGAAAATTTTCCGGGCTTTGGTTTTGGATAGAGAGTCAAACTTAGATAGAAAATTTTCAAAGTTTACCTCGAAGCTCTCTTGGTCGGATTCCTCGTCGGAGTGTGCCATAAGACATAGACCTGTATGGTTAGAGTTCTTATCACTCTCCTCTTCTTCGTCATCGGATGAGTCTCCCCAGGCTGCCATCATTGCCCTTTTGAGATCTCTTTTGAACCCTTTGTCTTTGCTGGACCTCTTGTTAGAACTGGACTTGTTCTTGTCGTAGGTCCGGTCATTTTTCTTTTGTGAACAGTCTTTAGCCCTGTGCTCAAGGGAACCACAAACAAAACAGCCTTGGTTATTAAAAGATTGAAAGTTATTTTTACCTTGTTTGTTCCGGTTGTTCTTGAACCGTCGGTACATCTTCCCGAATTGTCTAGCAAATATGCTCATCTCATCTTCCGATTCACTTTCGGATTCTTCCTCCTCTTCTCGAGCTTTTAGAGCAATTCCTCTCTCTCGCCTAGCATTCTCGGCATCTTGTTCTTCTTGAAGACCTAGTTCATATGTCAAGAGTGATCCAGTCAAGTCTTCAAGCGTCATGGTGGATAGATCCTTTGCTTCTTCAATAGCCGTGGTCTTAGGCTTCCATACTTGGGGCAGACTTCTTAAAATTTTTCTTACTTGATCTTCCACTGTAATTTCTCTTCCAAGGGCTGAAAGCTCATTGATGATATTAGTAAAACGTGTAATCATATCCTTAATTGACTCTCCAGGCTTCATTACGAATAATTCGTAATTACGCATAAATATGTCAATTTTAGATTTTTTTACACGTGAGGTACCTTCATGAGTAACCTCGAGCAAATCCCACATTTGTTTTGCAGTCTTACATCCTAGAACTCGGTTGTGTTCAGCAGGACCAAGACCACAAATCAAGTATTTAAGAGCTTGGGCATTATGCTCGAGTTTTTGATAATCATTAGTAGTAAATTCAGCTTTAGGTTTAGGAACAATTTTACCTTCGCCGTTTAGCTTTGTGATGACGTTGTCGCCACCTTCTATCACATTCCATACCTGATAATTATCGGCTTTGATAAAGTTCTCCATTCGGCTTTTCCAAAATTGATAGAACTGGCCATTGAACATTGGAGGTCGTACGGTCGAATAACCTTCTTCAAGACGGTCAACCGTGTTCATTTTGCCGGATCTCTTCCCAATGTATTAACCTCTATGTGGTGAAGACCAGCTCTGATACCAATTGATGAAAACGGTTAGCAACACAAGAGGGGGGGGTGAATTGTGTGCGTGTGGAACCGTGGCAGTTTTTCGCCGAGTTCTAGTGTGGGATAAAGGGAATTGCGAAATAGTAAAGTGCACAAGAATTTAACGAGGAAAAATCCCTTGGCTCAAGGGGATTAAAAAACCTCGACCTCCCTCGGAGGAATTTTAACAACTTCACTAAAAAGCCTTTGAATGATTACAAGGGAAACTCTCCTAGTCTACCCTTGAGCCACCCCAACTCTATCCTCTCTAGGAAGAGTTACGCTTCTCTACCTTGCGGGTAGAGAGCCTCTCAGCTTTACAATAAAGCTCTCACTCACACAAAACAACCCGAGGAGGCTACTCTTAGCCAATCCTCAAAACCCCATTACAATATGAAGAAGGGAAGTAAGAAACTCTATCTAGAACTCCGAGTGAGCAGTTTCAGGTGCCTTGAACTTCGTATTTTTCTCGAGTGTGTCTCTGAATATTTCTCTGGTCAAGCACGCTTTCTTTCTCTCTAGCTGCTCCGTTTATATAGGTTATCTTGGGCAGACCGTTTGAGCATCCTTCCTTGAATAGATGATCTTCTAATCTTGGGACTTGCCTTGATATTTTTGAATCACTTTCCTTTCATAGGCTCGGACCATATATATCACACGGATATTTTCTCAATAATAAATATCCGCCCAAATCAAGAAGAATATTGAATTTACTTAGCATGCATAGGCGGCAATCAAGAATGCAAATAGAAGGAAAATATATTTATTTACCATGCATAATCTAGCACAAAGTTATAATTAGCAAGCCTTTAAAAACGTATCTCAAGAGGCCGGATTATTCATCAAAGATATGAATGGTCAACATTCAAATATGCCAGCACACATCCTTAAACAAATTAATCAAATAAATTAATCATGGATAATCATTTATGGGAAGGAGATATTTATTAAATCATACAAGTAGCAATGCATACAATACGTAAGAGCTATGGTCAACATCCAATTATTAATCATGCAATCATTAATATAGCAAGTAAGGATACTTTCCATAAAGTAAAAAGCTATATTAATAAGTGGATGTCTAATCAAGCATGTAATGAGAATAAGTTGCTCAATGGAAAGTACGTATATATATATAATGGCCATGCAAAAAAGATATTATTGTTTAAAATAATATTCTTGACAAGTATGAGCACTCACATAAGGAGAACACATTAATTTTCAATTAAGTAGGTGCAATCAATATTAATTCAAACCATATCACGGAACTAGAACTGGGTCAGTATTAGTTCCACCTGCATGGTTAGTCAACAACATAATAATAATGTCCATTTGGACCTGAGGATAGTTCTGGGTTCAGGTCTATGGCTTGTTCCAAAGTATGACTTATCTTCCTTTCCTGCAATCACTTATAGACCAAAAGTAACACTAGTTGTTTGTCATCAACAAAACAATATGTTCCAACAATAACTCAGGTTGAATTCTAACAGCAAAGTTAAATTCTTGTTACTACGGAGCATAATTTATCTAAACATTACTGATGCACATTTAATTTAAATAATATAGAATAAAATGAATGCATAAAATTAATAAAACTGGTACGTACATTATTACCTATATTTAGACTATTCTAAAGCTCATAATATTCTGTAAAAGGTTTAGTAATAAATTTGTATTGATAATTATTGTAGTACCATGGCCAACATTAGCAAAAGAGAATTTGATGTTCTTGATCTATCTGGCCAAAAATATTTGGAATGAAAAGTTGATGCTTTAGCACATTTAATTTGAAGGCTAATGGTCTTGAAGACACTATTGAGGCAAATAAGCCGTCAACTGCCCAAGACAAAGCGAAAGCTATTATTTTCCTCTGTCACCATCTCCATGAAAGTCTCAAATCTGAATATCTTTTGGTTGATGATCCAAAAGAATTATGGGACAATTTACAGGAGAGGTATAGCCACCAGCAAAAGGTCCTTTTGCCTAAAGCTCAATATGACTGGATCAATCTAAGATTTCAGGACTTTAAATCTATCAGTGACTATAATTCTACTATGTTCCAAATAACATCCAAACTAAAGTTATGTGGGCAAAAAGTCACTGATGCTGATATGTTGGAGAAAACCTTTTCTACAATGCATATTTCTAATATGCTACTACAACAGCAATACAGAGAAAAGGGTTTTAAGAAATACTCTGACCTTATATCAGTTTTATTGGTCGCTGAGCAAAATAATTACCTTTTGATGAAAAATCATAATCTGAGACCCACTGGTTCTAGTCCTTCAGTTTATGGTCCATCTGGCCATAATTTAGCCACTGAAACAAATGCAACACACAGTGGCAGTAGAAGGCATTTTAAACGTGGGCATTTTAATGGTCATAATAACAAGTCCCACCGAGGATATAAACGGGTCGAAAGACCAAATTACAAGGGCAAGGGCAAACAAAAAGTCCATCAAACAAATCGCCCTACAAAACCCTCGGTGAAGACGACTTGTTACAAATGTGGCATGACGGGACACTGGGCTAACAAATGCCGTACTGCAAAGCATCTTGTGGAGTTATTTCAAGCTTCCATGAATTTAAACAAAGGCAAAAAAGTGGAAGCGAATTATGTCAATGATACAACTCCATCTCTGCCAAAATTCGATGTCTCCGACTTCTTCATGGATGATAGCATAATGGACGATGCTTTTGCCACTGATCAAAATAACACAAAATAAATTATAAGACTTTTGCATGTTGTAAAATAGTAGTTTATGTTTTCATGTACTATGTACTTTTTTTTATGTTGTTCTCACAAATAAATGTGTAATATATGTACTTTTATGATAAATAATATGCATAATTTGTGATATCTACATATCAAACTTATGTTTATTTACATATATTGAAGATATGGATCACTCAAATGATAAAGAGCTATGCCTGATAGACAGCGCCACAACGCACACCATTTTGAGAAATAAAATATATTTTTCTCAAATGACTTTAGTTGAAGCTAAAGTCAATACAATATCAGGTGTTGCGAAGCTCATTGAAGGCTCTGGGAAAGCATATGTGATGCTCCCTAATGGAACAAAATTACTTATAAATGACGCTTTATACTCCAGCAAATCGCGGAGAAATTTATTAAGCTTTAAAGATATGCGTCAAAATGGTTATCACATAGAAACCATGAATGAAAACCAAAAGGAATATCTTTGTCTAACGACAACTAAATCTGGCACTAAATGTATTTGTGAAAAAATGCCAGCATATTCCTCAGGACTATATTTCACTCATATTAGTCCATTCGAAATAAATTTGGTTTCTAACGCAAAGTTAGATGATCAGAAAACATTCATGTTGTGGCATGAACGTTTAGGTCACCCAGGCCATGTAATGATGCATAAAATCATTAAGACTTCACTTGGACACCCATTAAAGAATATAAGGGTTCCAATTTCAAGGGATTTTCCTTGTAAGGCGTGTTCTCTTGGCAAAATGATCATCAGGTCTTCTATGAACAAAATTGCAACTGAATCACCTGCATTTTTAGAACGGATTCAAGGAGATATTTGTGGGCCGATTGCCCCTCCATGTGGACCATTTCGATTTTTTATGGTGTTGATTGATGCTTCAACACGTTGGTCACATGTTAGTCTTTTATCGACTAGAAATTTAGCATTTGCTAAACTCCTTGCTCAAATTATACGATTAAGAGCTCATTTTCCGGATCATTCTATAAAAAGAATCCGACTTGATAATGCAGGAGAATTTACATCTCAATCATTTAACGATTATTGTATGTCGATTGGGATTGATGTGGAGCACCTTGTTGCTCATGTCCATACACAAAATGGTCTTGCTGAATCTTTGATTAAACGATTACAATTAATAGCTAAACCATTATTAATGAAGTATAATTTACCTTCATCAGCTTGGGGACATGCTATTTTGCATGCAGCAAATTTAATTCGGCTTAGACCGACTGCATATCATGAATATTCCCCAATGCAATTAGTTACTGGACAAGAGCCAAACTTAGCACACATAAAAATATTTGGTTGTGTTGTTTATGTTCCAATTGCTCTAGCTCATCGTACAAAAATGGGTCCTCAAAGAAGGTTGAGAATTTATGTTGGATTTGAATCTCCCTCAATAATAAAATATCTTGAACCGATGACTGGTGACTTATTCACCGCACGGTTCGCTGACTGTCATTTCAATGAGACAATATTCCCAACCTTAGGGGGGGAAACTAATAAATCGGACCCAAGTACGAAAGAAATAACATGGAATGCAACAGGATTATCACACCTTGATTCTAGATCAAATATATGTGAGCAAGAGGTGCAAAAGACAATCCATTTACAAAATGTTGCAAATCAGTTGCCTGATGCATTCACAGATACAAAGAAAGTGACAAAGTCACATATTCCTGCTATGAATGCCCCTGCCAGAATCGAAATCCCAACAGAGAATTCTGAAAAATCTCTTGCAAATGATTCTTCTATACGCAAAAAGCGTGGCAGGCCACTTGGATCGAAAGACATAAAACCAAGAAGAATTAAAAGGCGGGAATTGATCTGTGATGCCAAAGATGTTCATCCTTTTGAACAAGAAAATGAACAATTTGAAAATACTGCAAAATATCTTATGAAAGAATTTGAAATGAAAGATCTCGGGAGAATCAAATTTTGTCTCGGACATCAAATTGAGCATTTGAAGAATGAAATTTTCATCCACCAATCCAATTACACCGAGAAAGTTTTGAAGGGATTCTATATGGACAAAGCTCATCCATTGACCTCACCAATGGTCATTCGATCTCTTAACATACACGATGATCCATTCCGTCCCCGAGAAGACGACGAAGAAATACTCGGTCCCGAAGTACCATATCTGAGTGCTATTGGAGCTTTAATGTATTTAGCTAATAATATTAGACCATATATTGCATTTTCTGTAAATTTATTAGCTAGGTACAGTTCATGCCCAACAAGACGTCATTGGAACGGGATCAAGCACATATTCCGTTATCTACGTGGTACAGCTGATCTCGGCTTATTTTACCACAAAGATGCAAAAGCTGCTTTAATCGGATATGCAGACGCTGGATACTTATCAGATCCTCAAAAGGCAAAATCACAAACCGGGTACGTATTTACTTATGGTAATACCGCAATCTCGTGGAGATCTATGAAACAGGCGTTAACAGCTACATCATCAAATCATTCGGAGTTAATTGCACTTTATGAAACCGGGAGGGAATGCGTCTGGCTGCGATCTATGATTCAACACATCCAAAATGAATGCGGTATGAAACCTATTACTTGTCACCCCATTATGATCTATGAAGACAACATCGCGTGCATAGCTCAAATTAAAGAAGGCTACATCAAAGGAGACAAAACAAAACACATATCACCAAAGTTCTTCTCTACTCACGATCTGGAGAAAGAAGGGACGATCAACATTCAACAAATCAGATCAAGTGAAAATCCGGCTGATCTCTTCACCAAGTCATTGCCCCCGAAGAAGTTCGTAGAACTTGTACAGAAAATCGGCATGCGCCGCCTTCATAATTTATGCTAAATTCAGGGGGGGTATTTGAATGCATTGCACTCTTTTTTCCTTGATCATGTTTTTATCCCACTGGGTTTTTCCTGATAAGGTTTTTAACGAGACAGTACATCCAAATACGACATTATATGTCGTAATTTTTACCCCTTAAGTTTCACACTCATTTTTACAATAAGATAACAAATACATATTCAAGGATGAACATTCAAGGGGGAGTGTTGTAAAACCATCAAATTGACAAGTGTGAATTATTCATCCTTGTCATTAGGACACCTAGCTATTCATCATCCTTGTAATGATCCTTGTAACCTAGTTAGAACAGGTGGCTCAATTTGTTATTGCCACCAAATCTGTAGACTCATCATTTAGGTGACTAATCATCAAGCTCAAACACTATAAATAGGAGCTTGATGAAGCCTTGTAAATTAATTTTAGAAACTCAGAAACTTTCTGATATTAAGAAGAAGTTATTCAGAGCTTATTAATAATATATCTATCTCTTAAATCTGTTCTTCATCTTCTTCATTTCACAACATATACGTATTTTTTTTGTTTATAATACGGAGTAATATAAGGCAGCACATATTGAAATGCTTTGGTAGAATATTACGGAGTAATATTCAACTAACAATTAAATGCATGTATAATACATAACAAAATAAAACAAATATAAGTTGTTTCATTTCATAAAACTAACACTTCGCAACGTAGAAAACATTAAACATGCTCAAAAATACGGAGTAATATAAGGCGGCACATATTGAAATGCTTTGGTAGAATACTAGATTTTCACCCGTGCTTCGCACGGGATGCAGTTAGTAAGCAAAAATTATTTGTGAATATATAGAAATGTGGTGATAAAGATAGAACAACGAATATACAAAAGTAAGTGAAGATATAAAATAGTAAAATATTATCTACTTCCTTGTAAACACATTTAAACTCTTCTTGCTTGGTTTTCCATCATAATCACATATAATAAATTTTGATCTAACCAAGCATTCCAACCCAGCTGGTTGTGAAGTTACCGTGTCTAGTGGAAGGTCTCGAGTTTTAAACTTGCTAGGCACAAATGGTTTGAAACTCAATGGAGTGAGTTTCAGTCTGATTACTCCAGGCCCCCCAGAGTAAAAAAAAAAATAAAAAATTTATCTTCGATCCAGAGGGTGACATCATTCTTGAGACAGTGACGTAAAGTTGTCCATGGGTGAAAATTGAACGACGTAAGAAAACATCGACCCTCTTAAAAATTATCCCTGATTTTTGTTGATGGTCATCGCATAATTAACCATCAAAGAGATTGCTTACGCTAAAATGTGAATGACAACTTAAGGTCAGATGAATTCAAGCTAAGTTTCGCAATAAGAAACTTTTATCATGCAATTGTTTCTGACATCATTTGAGCCTCTAGAATATGTGTACCGAGTCTAGTGATGATAAGGCGAACTGCATTACACAATCTTGAAGAATGATCGATCTTCCTCATTAGCATCACATGTGCACCCACTTTTAGCTTCACCTCACGGCTTGGCACTCCAGAGCATTTAATGGTATTGAGAAATTCTGGAGAGTGGATCTCTTGAAGGAGTGCATTGTCTAAGTTCGAAGAAG